CAGCATTTTGGAGAGATCCCTAACAGCAGAATTGCCCATTGCTCTGCAGGATAGCCCTTCCCACTAACATGACCAAAGAACATGAGATGAAGTTTCACCACCATCCTTTACAAGGAGCAGCCTGGCAATATTTCTTTCAAAACAGATTTTTTGTTGTTGTTATTCTTTGGAAAAATCCCTGGGATACTTCAGTGTTCTTTGCCCACACCACAATTATACTGCAATTCTAATGTCAGAAGAAGTTCTAATAGCAAGAATCTATTTCTTTGTATTAAGCTATGAGGTGAATTGATTCAGTGACAGGGATAATCGGGATGGGAGTGTCGGAGACAGTGCGATTGGCACAGGACAGAGCAGAGTTTAGGGCTGTTGTACACAGGGTCGCTATGAGTCGCAAGCGACTCAATGGCATATAACAACAACACAACAACTTTTACAACAACATAATACATTATACATTATTGAATTAAATGCTCTTGAAACTTTGATCTGTGACTGTGTAAGTTAGGTTATGGAAATATGTTCTTTGTCAGCATTGTTTTTCTGTTTTTACTGGAAGCTCCCATTTGAGTTTCCGTTGCAGTGTATTATGATGACTGTATGCATTCGCCTCCAAGCATGTGCAGGCCTGCTGCTTTTTGTTATGTAGTTTGAAGTTTGTGAACTCAGCTTGAAAGGAAACCCACGTTTTGGCTTATCTGAATTTGAGGATTGCATTAACATCAGTTGTTTTACAGAAATCTATAGGAGTAAGACTTTTAGCAGTAGGTCACATGCTGAGAGGCAGCAATACTAATAAGACTATTTCCTAGAAGATTAATCAGCTATTTTATATATTTCAAAGTTTTCACATCAACAAAAACAACACAACTCATTGCCACTGAGTCCCCCGCAGTCCTTCATGAATCCAGAGAGAAATCAGAAGGACCAGGAGGAGGAGCTCCGTGGTTATCAACAGTAGATGGAGATATAAAAATTCACTGGAAAAAGTCAGGACGATCTTTTCATTACAGGTAGAGAGGAAAAGCATAAAGTAAAAATGAGACTTTGAGGTGCAGAATACATGGAGGGCTTTTTGTGTTGAAGGTGGAGAGTTCTTAGCAGGGCTCATTTCCACAGAGAATCGCATCTCACAATAGTCTTGTCCTGTGGGCATTTTTAGCCTTGCTTCCCAGATGAGCAGATGTGAGAGATGTGGTTAGGTAAGTGATAGAGGGGGGTTGTAAACTGAAGCTCGCCTGACCGTAAAGCCTGTGGTCTGTCTATTATCTCCTATCTCTGCATTACTTCGGTCTAGAATGAAAACAAACAAAAAAGCTTCTTGCCCTCAAGTTGATGCTGACTTCTGGCAAACTTACTGGGTACGGAGTACAGCATCCCATTGTTTTCCGTGGCTGCAGTCTCAAGGAACTAGGTGACCAGGGCTTCTGTGGCTGCACTGTGTGGATTCAAATTGCCAGGCTTTTGATCAGCAGGCAAGTGCAGAGCACCCAGGGACCAGATCTAGAATGAAAATGAGGCTTAGTCTTTTCAGCTGTGCTGTGTTACAGGCACGGGAGTGAAAAACAAGGCACAAGTCCACCTGACTCTCCTTTTCAAATGCAGCAAAGAATAATAGATAAGGTTACTTAACCTATTTTAGGTTCTGAATTCAGACAGGCTGGAGATCAAGCTGTTTATCCCACTTACTAGGAGAGTAACTCTGAGCAAGTTACTGCTTGTGCTCTGAAAGCCTCAGCGTGCCTTCAGGTTTAAAAAAAAATACTCAACACAAACTCATTGTCGTAGAATCACAACTTGCTCATAGCTGACCTTCCAGTGAGTTTTCTGAGGCTGTAAATGACACGGAAGGGGATTGCTCAACTCTCTACTGCAGAGCTGCTGGTGGATTCGAACCTCCAGAGAAGCATCTCCTTTGGATTACAGTGCAACTCCCTACAGATGATACTAGAGGGGATAATAGGTAGTTTAAAGGGTGATTGTGACTATTAAGTGAGTTAATGCCTGCAAAGTTCTTAGCCTAGTGCTGGTACCTACCTAGTAACTTCTCTTTAAATGTTGATGGATCTGTGGCGTTATGATTATCATAAGAGTCTGGAATGAAGATTACAGAGTGGAGTATACTTGGGGTGGGAGTGGGGGAGTGCTGGGGGATTGTATACTATTGAAGGGATTTTTCTTTTACTTTTTCAAAGAGAAGAGCGAACTGGGGGTGGAGGGGTGGGCGGGAAGAAAAGTGCAACAGTGAATGAATGGAAATGCAAAATCTCTGTAAATGTTCATTGAAATTAGTAAAAAAAATGTTAATGGATCTGTAAAGGAGTCTGTGTTAGAAGAGATTGTAAAGGTCAGCATAGACTGAAGAAGAATAATTACTGACTAAAATTGCTAGTACGTATATCATGGAAGTCCCAGAAACTTAACAATGTTCGTACACAATCTGTTCCTAGACCAAGAAGCTGTCCTCTGAACGGAACAGGGGAACACTGCATGGTTTAAAATCAGGAATGGTGTGCATCAAGTTTGTATTCTCCTATACTTATCCAGTCTTTATACTGAGCAAGAAATTCATGAAGCTGGACTCTGCAGAAGAAGGCAGCATCAGGATCCAAGGAAGATACATAAAAATACTTGCTTTATGAAGATGACACAACCTTGCTTGTTGAAGGTAAGGAGGACTTGACATGCTTGCTGCAAAATATCAAGGATGGCAACCCTCAATATGAATTACATCTCAACATCAAGAAAACACAGGTCCTTACGACGGGGCCAATAGACAACATCATGATAGATGGAGAAAGGATTGAAGTGGTCAGTGATTTAATCTCACTTGATCAACAGTCAGCACCCTTTGTACCAGCAGTGAAGAAATCAGGAGCCACACTGCTTTGGGGCAAGGTCCACCGACAGGGATCTCTCGAAAATACTGAAGAATGATGTCAGTTTGCAGACAAAAGTGCACCCTGATTCAGGCCATGGCGTTTTCAATCACTTGCTGTGCATCTGAGAACTGGGCAATAAATAAGGATGACAGAAGAAGAATTGATGCTTTTGAGTTGTGGTGTTGGAGAAGAGCACTGAACATCCCACAGACTGCCCAAAGAACAAACAGGAAGTGCATCCAGAGTGCTCCTTGGAGGCAAAGATGATAAAAAGCTTCATTTCAGGTGCTTTGGGCATGTTGGTAGGAAAAGAACACTATGCTTGGAAAGGGGTGGGTCAGTGAAATAGAGGAAGACAACCGCCTCTCCCAAAGAGATGGATTGACACAGTGACTGCAGCAATTGGTTCAAGTGTGTCAGAGATGATGAGGATGGCACAGGATAAGACAGGGTTAGGTCTCTTGTTCATAGGGTTGCTATGAGTTGTACTCAACTTGATGACTAGGTCTTCCAAACTGAGTCTCAATTTCAAACTTGCTCTGATTCATTTAAGTTGCAGTATCAATAAGATGTCTGAATACTTCAGAAATTAAAAGACACACTTTTAGAAAGCCTATTTACTGGAAAAACTTATTTATTCTCAGACTACATATAATTTTTACCATTAAATTGTTTTGTCTAACAGTTCTGCATAGTTGTAGATAGGTAATTTCAGGGCTGACCTTTGCATGGAACTAACTATGGGTATTGTCTCTTCAGGGAATGCCCAATTCCATGTACATTCTGAGTCCTTTATGTTTTTGTTTGGTTTTTTAAAGGAAAATCACTTTTCCTTTTGTGTATTATTTTCCTTTTACTCACTCATTGCCACTGAGTCAGAACTGACTCATAGTTGACCCTCCAGCAGGTTTTCAGAGGCTATAAATTGCATGAAAGGAGATTGTCCATCTTTCTCCCTCAGTGCAACTGGTGGATTTGAACTTCCTGGCTTTGGATTGGCAGCACAACTCTTTACCCACTTGGCCACTAGAACTCCAAATATGTTAAGTGTCCAAGCCCCACGAACCTCCTGGTCCCCGCAGAGCCTCATTCTCTGGTTCCCTCTTCCCATCCTCCTGGCTTCATTCATCTTCCCAGCAGCGATACAGTCACCAGCCTTTCACTCACAGCCCTGCTGGGCTGGCTTCTCTGCTCCTGTTCTGGGTGCGAGTGGCACTGACAGGGGAGGGTCAACTGAGAACTTCTGGCACCAGGCAGTGGCTGCATGTGATCAGGAAGCTGGTGCAGTGGCGCAGTGGTAGCCGGCTTTGACATTGCTCCTTGTTGCCTGTTCAGTGCCTGCAACTACCTCTCCTTACAGCTCTGTCCACCATACACCCGTCCTTCCCCTAACTCACATGAGCAAAGACCTTAGTCCAGCTGTTAGCTCAGCCTGCATCTGGCCTAACTCGACTCCTGTGTCCAGTTAATACAGCTCTTGGGCGTTTTCCAGTGGGATCCTATAAGGTTTTAAAGTAATAAGGTCAAGTTTCACATCCTATTCACAGAACATACCATGAGCATTAACTGACATGTACCTGAAGCAAAAATCCTTTTAAACTGATTTTTTAAAACTCCCTTCCGAAGAGACTGCAATTTAGATTGTTGTTCTTGTTAAGTGCCTTCGAGTCATAGTCTACTTGTAGCAACCCTATAAACGAAAGACCTGAATACTTGTATAACTTTCATCGTTTCTCCAAATTTATAGAGTTCCCAGAGGCAAGCTATTTTGGAAGTTGATGCCACTCCTCTACCAAATTATATGGTACTAAATAATGTGGTTTACTAATGTAAGAGCCAAACTGTGGGACTTGGATGAATCTTTGAAATGTACCTGTATCCGTGGCAAAGTTATTGAATGAGAATCTTCATGTAAGAATTCAGACATTTGCTCCAAAACTGAGATAAAAGAATTGTTGAATATACTGATGCCCCGCTTAATAAATCGCTTATTCTTCAAGTATTTAAACATCTCCAGTAAGCCCTTTCACCTAAAAAGAAAAAAAGATGTTGCTATTTTGGTAAGTAATCTTACATTTGGCTCCTCTCTTACTAATGACTGTTTTTCGTTCATTGCAGCGTGGGGAAGAGCTGCAGCTGCCATGCTTTTATGTGGCTTCATCATCCTGGTCATCTGCTTTATCCTGTCCTTCTTTGCCCTCTGTGGACCCCAGATGCTCATCTTCCTGCGAGTGATTGGTGGACTCCTAGCCCTGGCCGGTAAGACTCTGTGTTAGGATTCTTCACTCAGACCCTCCATGGGCATCAGCGTAGTAGCTTTCAGTGAGCATTGCTTGTTGTTGTTGCTAGGTGCCCTTGTGTTAGCTCTGACCCATAGCAGTCCTGTGTATAAAAGAATAAAACACCGTCTAGTCTGGCCCCATCTTCCCAGCCACTCTAGTACTCAAGCTGTTAATTAGTGTAGCCACTCTGAGATCCTCTGACCCTCTGCTAAGCATGATGTCTTTCTCCAGGGACTGACCCCTCCTTATAACATGCTCAAAGTGTGTCAGATGAAGTCTTACCATTTGGGCATCTAAGGAGACTTCTGGCTGCACTCCTGCCAAGACGGATTCACCTGTTCCTTTAGTAGTCTATGATGGTGGTGGTTGTTGTTATGTGCTGTCGAGTCGCTCGTGACTCATAGTGACTCGTAAAAGAGCCCTAAACCCTGCTTTGTCCTGTGCCAACCTCACTGTCTCCAACACACCTACTCCCACTACCGCAATCACTGAATCGATCCATCTCATCAAGGATCTTCCTCTCTTGCGCTGTCCGTCCACCCTCCCAAATGCGATATTCCATATTCTTTGTCGACATCACAGTTTGAAGACATTGTTTGGATGGATTTAAAAGAGCCCTGGTGACATCGTGTATTATGTGTTTCTCTGCCAACTGAAAAGCTTAGTTGTTCTAATCCAACTCGTGCTCCGTGGGGGGAAAAGTGATGCGCAGTCACCTTCCTTAAAGATTTACAGTTTTGGAAGCAGCTTGGAGGGTTGTCATGAGTCAGAAGCAATCTGATTGAAGGAGGTTTCAGGACAGTATAATGGCTACAAACTAAAAGGTTGGTGGTTAAAATCTGCTAGTGTCTCCAAAGGTGAAAAGATCTAGACCAGCTTCTGTGAAGAAGCTTCTGTGGGAAAGCGTTTAGGGCAGTGCAACTCTATCTTACAAGTCTTCTGTGAATGAGAAGCAACTCAACAGCTCAGAAGGACATTTGGTGGATTGTAGTACCTGTTCTAAGTTGTTGGAGAGGGAATTTCTCTCTTGTTACTGTGTAGTCCTTCATTCATGGATTCATACTCTGAGCTTTTCCTCCCCTTTAGCCGTGTTCCAGATCATCTCTCTGGTGATTTACCCAGTGAAGTACACCCAGCAATTCAACCTACATGCTAACATTGCTGTCACCTACTACTATAACTGGGCCTATGGCTTCGGTTGGGCAGCCACAATCATCCTCATTGGCTGTGCCTTCTTCTTCTGCTGCCTTCCCAACTATGAAGACGACCTCCTGGGCAATGCCAAGCCCAGGTACTTCTACTCATCTGCCTAATGTGGTCCATGAGGTCAGTGGAGGACCTCTGCTGTGGAGAGAGATTCCAGACAAAGAAGAATTTGACTACATGTTCAACAGTTATAGCAAAGTATACCTACCTTGAAACTAGTCAAAAATATGCTCTAATAAAGTTGGAAGACTTCCATCTTTAAACTAATCACCTACTATATAAATATTGCCTTGTAACTATTCATAACATTTATATTGTATTTGTAAAATAATACAGATATATAATGTACCCATTTTTATAGTGAAAATGAGTAGGCTTCCAAGTTTTTAATAAATGGATGAATTTACTGTTTTTTTCCCCAGCTGAATGGACTAAATAAAGCCTATTAAGGGCTAAGGAGAAAGAGAGAGATTGGTTAAAATTGACAGTAGCCAAATATTAACAAGTAAATGTATATTTTTTTCAGCCTTTAGCTATTTAAAGAAGCAAAATAGTTTCCTAAATGTGTATCATTTGTAAGACTTTCTGATTAATATTTTGATTCATTGACTTTTTGCTAAACTTGACATTGACTTGATGTACGATATAGGAGAGTATTCTTTTACAGCCAAATCCTGTTGCAGAACTGAAACTTCCTTTGGGAGTAATATTTTAAGATGAGTTTTTCTCTTTTTAAAGTGGTTTTTAAGGTTGGGGCATGGGGAGATTCTTTATTAATAAACCTGTACTGTTTTGTGTCTGTATGTTTCAGCCCAGGGTAGACTGTATTGAAATATGGACTTGGTCTAATTCATTATGACTGATAAACAGGATTATGGTGCTTGGTGCAGAAAAACTGTGCAAAAGCATTGAAAAATTATAATGAAATCAGTCCAAGAAGAAACCACCTGGATTTTTCATCACCGTGTTAACTTGGCTGTAATCATACAAGACGTAATTTCTGACACATAACACCTGTAGACACAAACATCAATATAATAAAAGCCTGGTCGTCTTGGCAAACCAATCTAAAATTCTGTTGTGAAAACATGCAACAGGATAATTCAGGGGTGTATCATTTCTCTGAATGGCAAATATATGTCACTTTTATTGTTATTGGTCTTTTTTATAATTTGTATTACTGTATATCATAGAAACCAAGTTATTTTTATATCAAATTATTATTATTTTGGAAGTTGCAGAACAAGCCATTACAAATAGATTTCATTATGAATTTGCCCCTAATAAACCAGGTGTTATAAACTTGCTTCTGTTTGGTAGTTTTGTCTTTCCTTTTTTAATCTGGGAAGGGCACTTTTAAAATATGCCCTAACTGGGTCACATGAACATGAGGTAAAATGAAAAGTTGGTTTTACTCTGTCTTAATAGTCTTGTCCTTTTTCGATATCCAGTAACAAGTCTTGAATGAACATTAAGGAATTCTGTTGTCCACTCCCTGGCTTCTTCTTAGTGAATAATGCCACGTACAAACATCAAACGGTATCTATTTAGTGCTACCACTGCCACTAAAGGCAAATGGACGGAGTGGTTTAGGGGAGGTCCAGATACCTCAGGGGACATTTACGAGGCTGGTCAGAAGGCTCATCCATCCCTCTCTCCTCTGTCACAGCACAGCCTTGTCCTGGCGCTGGACTCCACTTTGTTCAGGTAGTGGGTGTGGTCATAATCTCTTTACTTCTTTTTTTCTCTGTTCACCTTCCTTCCCACTGGGACTTTTGCACCTTTGGTCTCCGGTTAATTCCTCTACAGTATGAAAATGTGAATATTCCTGAGTGATGAAGATGATTATCACATTCAGCTGCTTAACCAAAAAGTAGACATTTGATTCCATCTAGAGGCACCTTACAAGAAAGACTTGGTGATCTGAAAAATCAGTCAAGGGGCCATCGAAAAGTGTGAGGCACAGTTCTACCTGATACATATTAACTTGATGTGAATTGCATCCGTAAGGGAGTAGCTGGTGGCGTTGAACCACTTGCCTTTGGGATCTCTCTCTCTTAGTCTCTCTCTCTGTCTATCTTGATATATCTCAATCTATCTATATGTTTTTGTTGTTGTTGAGTGTCGAGTCGCAGGCGACTCATAGCGACCCTATGAAAGCGAGTCCTCAATGCTTGGGTGCCTTTCATCCTCTCTCCAGGTTCACAGGGTTTCCGGAGGGCATATGGTTCGAACTACCAGCTGCTCCACTGGAGAAGGATGGGAAATCCCCTCTCATGTGATTAACTGCTTCTGAAAACCTGCTGTAGGGTCAGCTGTGGTTTGGTTCCGACTTGACAAATTTTTCTCACGATATTATACTGTCAAGTATACAACTCATAGCTGACCCTCCAGTGGGTTTTCAGAGGCAGTAAATCCCACGGGAGAAGCCAAAGCATCATTGGTTTGATGGGAATGCCCAGCTCCTTTCAGCTTTGTCCAAGAGTAAACCCCTTTCATGAATCACGTCAGTTCTGAGAGATCCTGTATCATATTTGAAGCTGAAAATCTTTACGGGAGGGGATTGTCCATCTTTCTCTCTCAGGGCAGCTAGTGGATTTGAATTTTTGACCTTTAGATTAATAGTGCAACACATAACACACTAGACCACCACTTTTGTCCAAGTTTAAAGATCTACCCTGTTTGCTTTAGCTTCACTAGGACAAGAGAAATTTTGTTCAGTTGTCAACATTTAGCAACCCATGTGTGAATGGCAAATATATGTCAAATATAGTGTTCCCTGGGGTTACGGAAACCTGCTTAGCAGCTATATATGCTAACTGTCCTCCCATCCATGATGTCCTGTGTTAAAAAGGTACAGTCCAAAGAAATGGAAAAACAGGGAAACATTTGACTGGAACTGTCTGAAGAGAGACCATGTGTTAAGCTCGATTTCTCATGATACAACCGAGGCGGTTTTTAGCTCTGTAATTATGTTGGGTCCCCACCCTTTGCCCTTCCCTCTTGAATAAGCATTTCTAGGTTCCCAAGCAATTATCTCGTGCTCACGCAACAAGTAACCAGATATGCTAAGTGCCATTTATGGTTGGATGAAACAATGAACTAATATGTAAGTCTTTCAGTTGTGCTAACAGCTGTAGAGTATAATTATATTTAGCTTCAAAAACATATATTGCAGGAGTGATAATAAAATTTGTGAGGCTTCCTTTTTATAAAGGCACTGGGACAATGGGAGGATAGAGTCATGATTACTTAATTAGGTTGATTTTTACTGTGAACTCTCACTGGAAGACTTCCCTGCTAATATGATAAATGTCGGCGCTGAGGTAACTTATTTATGTCTCAGTTTTTTTGCTGGTGTGTGTGTGTGTGTGCTTGTGTTTTTGTTTTGTTTTGTTTGTTGTTAAATCATGTTCACAGAAATCTTGCATTGAATATTTAAAGCTATAAATATTTTTTTAAATAAAATTTGTATTGTATACTGGCTTACTTTTAAAGTTCAAATACATTGTTTTCACACCAGATCTTTCCCATTTCCTTTACCGACCCCTCCCTATACCTATCAAATTGTGTGGCCCTATGATTACCTCCCTGCCCATCTTCACCTCTCTGCTCCTACCTCCCCCTCACCTTGGATCCGTATACATGTTTTACTAGTCATCTATTTCTACAATAAAGATTTTATGGAGTATTTTTCCTGATGGTACTGAGTTAGTTCACTCACCATAATGCTCTCCAGACCTGCCCAAGTTAAGGAGTAATTTTCAAAATCAGTGTTTCTGCAGGCTGCATAGTATTCCGTTGTGTGAATGTACCATAATTTCTCAATATATTTGATTGTGGTTGGGCATTTGGGCTGTTTCTATGTTTTTAAGATGGTGAATAACGCTGCTATAACATTGGTGTACAAATCTCTGTGCCTCAGTTTTCCATTTCGTGGGGTATATTCCAAGCAGAGGAAGAGCTGGGTCCTATGGAATTTCTAGGTTCAGCATTTTGAGGAAATGACAAACTGCCTTCCAGAGTGGTTGTGCATTTTACAATCCCACCAACAATGTTTAAGAGTTCCTACCTTGCCACATCCTCTCCAACATTTATTACCTGCTACCCTATTAAACTTTGCCACTGTTGCTGGTATGAGATGGTATCTCATTATGGTTTTGATCTGTACCTCTCTTATTGCCAGTGATTTGGAGCATTTCTTCATGTGTCTGTTTGCCGTCCAAATTTCTTCCTCTGTGAAAAATCTTTCTATGTCTTTTTGCCCATTTTGTAATTGAATTAATTGGGTTATCAATCTTTTTCTTGTGGAGGCCCCTTAGGATTCTGTAAACTTATGATATGAAACCCTTGTCTGAAATGATATCACCAAATGTTTTTTTCCCCAATCAGTAGATTTTCTTTTCACTTTTTTTTGAAAATGCTTTTTGATGCACACAGGGATTTAATATTTAGAAGGTCCATTCATCAATTTTATCCTCTCCAGATCTAGCTGTATTTGGCAGTCTCTTTATGCCATAGACTAGGCCTTCTAAGCTTGATCTCAGTTTGTCTCTTATGACCTGTATAGTTTTGAGCTTTACTCCCAGGTCTCTGATCCACCTTGAGTTGATTTCTCTATATGGTATGAGATGTGGATCCCATTTCAGCTTTCTGCAGGTAGCAGTCCAGTTTTGCCAACACCATTTGTTGAAGAGGTTGTCATTTTCCCATTTGGTAGATTTATTTCCTTGTTGAATATCAGTTGGCCATAGATAGTTAGGTCCATTTCTGGGTTCTCAATTCTGTTCCATTCGTCTTTGTAGGCCTGTGTACCAGAATGATGCTGTTTTGGTTACTACTACTGTGTAGTAGATTTTGAGGTCAGGGAGTTGGTATGCCTCCCACTTCATTTTTGTTTTTCAGAAGTCCTTTGCATATTTGGGCACTCTTTCCTCTCCAAATAAACTTGACAATTCCCCTTTTGCTCTCCTTGAAAAATGAATTTGGTGTTTGTGTTGAAGTTGCACTTGAACATGTAGATTGCTTTTGGTAGGATTGTCATTTTCACGATATTGAGTCTTCCTATCCATGAACAGGGCACATTTTTCCATTTCTATTGGTCTTT